TCACCAAACTAGGACCAGAAATTCCTCCCCTGACAAAGGACATCTGTGTCAAATGACCTTGCCATCACCAATCTTAACAACAAACACGGAATTCTTGCTCTAGGATCAAGAAAGTAACGAAGGTATAGTGTCTCATTGCTGTTTTGAAACATTGTAGGTAGAATTTTAGAGGGGGCATCAAGTAAGAAATGAGTAACATCTATGGAAGAAATAAAAAAGTGAAACCATATTTATTTTCTAGCATGTTGGTTAGTTATGTAGAAAACCCTACACCATTCACAGAAATCTTCATATATGGATGAGTGTGAAAAGGTTAACAGATATAAGATAAATATATGAAGATTCAATTAAAATCTGTATGTTAGCAATGGAAATTCAAAATTGAGCACACACTGGCACTAACAGTAATATAGCAAATAGAAGATGTGATGAATACAGAAAACCACTCCCTGCCCACGGTTCAGAAGACTCAGCATGGGAAAGATTCCCAGTTCTTCTGCAGAGTCAAAACCAAAATCTTGGCAGGCTTTTTCTGGATGTTTCTGAAGAAGCTGAAAACTGGATCCTAAAATTCAGTTGGAAATGTAAAGAATCTAGGTTGTTACTTATAACTTTCAGTAGGGGGCGTCACAGGACATGGTTTCACAGCTTGCTGTTGGGCAGTGGCAGGGTGCTGACTGGAGACAAGCAAATAGATTGCAGAATGGGAGGCACCACACAGCAGGGAGCCTGGGCAGCCTATCAGTCTTCAGCAAAGATGGAACAATAAGTCAGTGAAGGAAAAAACTGAGTCTTCAGATAGTACCAGGACAATTTGATTTCTTCACAATAACTGTCATCCGTAAGTGACATTACGGGAAACTAAATTCAAAATAGAAAAGAGTATAAAGTTCCATTAGAAAGCATCGAGAATGGAACTTGAATTAGTCAAAGATAAAGTTTGACAGAAAGCACAATCCTTATCCTAAATGAGGGACACACACTCATAAGAAGTCATTATTATTGAAATACAGAATGAAAACTGCCAGCTGGGAACAGGGAAGAAGTATTTGCAAATCATAGGTCTACACAAAAAGGCTTGTATTTCAACTGCGAAAGGACCCTCTGACTCAATAGTAAGAAAATAAACACACATTCAAGCTGCTCTGAGGTGCCACTCCACGTCTACAGGATAGTTAGTGCCAGAAAGG